GCTGAAATAGGAAGATTGCTTGAGCCCAGGAGATTGAGGTTCAATGAGCTATGATGACATCGCTGCACTCTAGCCTGGGCAATGGAATGAGACCCTGTCTCATGAACAACAAGAACTATAACAGGGAATTAAAAAAATGAAGGATTAGGCCAGGCGAGGTGCTCATACCTATAATTCTAGCACTCTGGGAGGCCGATTGCTCAAGGTCAAATTCAGGTCAGATCGCTCAAGGTCAGGAGGGGGATCGCCATGTCAGAAGTTTGAAACCAGTCTGAGCACGACCGGTCTCTACTAAAAATAGAAAGAATTAATTGACCAATTAAAATATATATATAAAGCCGCGTGGTGGCTCACGCCTGTAATCCTAGCACTCTGGGAGGCCGAGGCGGGCGGATTGTCGAGGTCAGGAGTTCGAAACCACCCTGGGCAAGACCCCGTCTCTACTAAAAATAGAAGAAATTAATTGACCAACTAAAATATATATATACAAAAAATTAGCTGGGCATGGTGGGCATGCCTGTAGTCCAGCTACTCGGAGAGCTGAGGCAAGGATCACTTGAGCCCAGGAGTTTGAGGTTGCTGTGAGCTAGGCTGACGCCACGGCATCACTCTAGCCTGGGCAACAAAGTGAGACTCTGTCTCAAAAAAAAATAAAATAAAAATAAATAAAAAATAAAAATATATATATAAAAAAAAATTAGCCAGGCATGGTGGCACCTGCCTGTAGTCCCAGCTACTTGGGAGGCTGAGGCAGGAGGATCACTTGAGCCCAGGAGATTGAGGTTGCTGTGAGCTAGGCTGATGCCACGGCACTCGCTCTAGCCTGGGCAACAAAGTGAGACTCTGCTCAAAAAAAAAAAAAAAAAAAAAAGATTAGATTGTGTATTATTTTCCTAGGGCTGCCATAACAAATTGCCACAAATTCATTCTCTAACAGTTCTGTAGGCTAAAAATCTGAAATCACTATCCTAAAATCAAAGTCTGGTGAAAAAGAAATCGAAAGTATAAATTAAAATTTTTAAAAAAGAAAAAAAATCTGAAATCACATCATCAGCAGGGCTCCAAGACCCTGGATAGAATCCTTCCTCCCCTCTTCCTAGCTTCCAGTGGTTGCTGACAATGCTTGGCATTCCTTGGCTTGTATGTGCATCACTCCAATCTCTGCTTCTGTTGTCATATGGCATTCTCCCTGCGTGTCTCTGTGCATGTCTTCACATGGTGTTCTCTTATATATGTGTCCAAATTTCTCTGTTCTTATAAGGACACTAGTAATTATGTTAGGGCCCATCCGACCCTAGTATGACCTCATGTAAACATGATTACATCTGTAAAGAATATATTTCCCAATAAGGTCACATTCACAGAAACGGGGGGGGGTTAGAACTTGAACATATCTTTGGTTAGGGAGAAGGGATGCAATTCTGCCCACTCCCAGATAATAAGTAAAGAAAATTCTAAAAATGCAAGAATAGCAGATATAAGGAGCCATCACTGTACAGACTGAGATAGAGCATAAAAGAAAAAGCCTCAGCCGGGCGCGGTGGCTCACGCCTGTAATCCTAGCACTCTGGGAGGCCGAGGTGGTCAGTTTGCTCGAGGTCAGGAGTTCAAAACCAGCCTGAGCAAGAGCAAGACCCATCTCACTATAAATAGAAAGAAATTAATTGGCAACTAATATATATAGAAAAAAATAGCTCGGCATGGTGTGCATGCCTGTAGTCCCAGCTACTCGGGAGGCTGAGGCAGCAGGGTTGCTTGAGCCCAGGTGTTTGAGGTTGCTGTGAGCTAGGCTGACGCCACAGCACTCACTCTAGCATGGGCAACAAAGCGAGACTCTGTCTCAAAAAAGGAAAAGAAAAGAAAGGAGGGGGAAATGGGCATTTATTGAAACCTTAAAATCTGTACCCCCATAATATGCCGAAAAAAAAAATCAAAAAAAAAAAAAAAAGAAAAAAAAGAAAAGAAAAAGCCTCCATCCTCTGGGGGGCTGAGATCCAGAACTTTTTGGAGAAGGCACAGAATTTTCTGGGGGTAGAGCATGGTGGAAGTTGTTGGGAATCCATCCTCTGGCACTTGCTGGAAATCTTTTTTTGTTTGTTTGTTTGTTTTGAGACAGAGTCTCACTTTGTTGCCTAGGCTAGAGTGAGTGCCGTGGCATCAGCCTAGCTCACAGCAACCTCAAACTCCTGGGCTCAAGCGATCCTGCTGCCTCAGCCTCACAAGTAGCTGGGACTACAGGCATGCGCCACCATGCCCGGCTAATGTTTTGTATATATATTAGTTGGCCAATTAATTTCTTTCTATTTATAGTAGAGGGGTCTTGGAAATCTTTTCTCTAGGGTGCCATGGGAAGGTGTCTCAGAGGACGCTCTCTAATATGAAACCATCCGCAAGGCGCCAGGGGGAGCTGCTGGCCCTTGGATGCTGCTGGCCACCGTGCAGGGCGCTGGTGAAGCTGCCTGCACCGCAAAAGCTGGGAGCCCCAGGACCCACATGCACTGCAGGAGGCTGCCAGTAGGGCTCACAGAACCAGGAAACAAAACCCTTTCTTCCTGTAATGTCTCCTCAGCCATCTATTGCCAAAATTTAGCATGATGCCAGCTGACAAAGAAAAAATACTTAAAGGGCCCAGATACATTTTTAACAGAGCAAGAAAAAAAGATGAATTGAGAGCTGAGAGACAATAACAGACTGTTTCAGATATAATAAGCAGAGTCCTTCATCCTTCTTTGCTCTCTCTCCAATCCTCTAAATCTTCTTCCTTCTTGATATCCTCACCTAAGCCCTGTCACTTTACCAGTCAGCTCCTCCAAACCTGAACCCTGCCTACCACCCTCCCCCCACTCCCAAGAAAAGGGGGCAAGGATGGAACTAGTGGCAGGTGGCTCTTGACACTGGGAGTAGAGAGGAGGTAGACCATGGGCAGGACCAGCTTTTTCAGATAAAAAAAAGTAATTTTAGCAACCTGGCTGATTAGAGTGGCTGATTAGGGCAGAAAAGCCCTCAGGGGAGGTCTTGAAAGTGCCTCTTCAGAGGAGTTACATTGAGCAGGACTGGGTGAAACCTGGCTGAACCAGGTACTTTAGGACTGAAGTTGAAGGAAGAGGTAGAGCCAGTGACAATCTTGTACACGGGGATATAAATGCAGTGACATAAAACTCCAAACTCTTATGAGATAGGCACCTGTCTTTCCCCAGGGCACAGCACATGGGAGGTGTTGAAATTTTGTTGAATGGTTACTGCAAATTGGAGCAGCATCCCAAACCTAAGGCTTCTTGGCATTTCTCAGGGCTGGTTCTTGGCAAAGGGCTATCCATCCCTAACTAACCATCCCACCCATCTCAACAGCCTGCAGCCACAATCCAACCCTGGCTGATCTGCAGCTTAGGCTAGAGGCTCATACACAAAAAGGTACTGATCAAGGGCAGCTGGCTTGACGACCAGAAGGGAGAGAGCACCAGAGAGCAAGATGAAGCAGTCATGATCATCCTCTTTTCACCTGTAGCCTGAGACTTAAATTAATTTTCAAGCACATTTGGATGTGCTTGTTTGATCTTAATGTTCCAAGTCTATTTTGAGATAGTCATGACAGGGTTTAATGTTCCCATCTTACATATGAGACAGCTGGGGCCAGAAACAGTTAAAAAGATGGGAGACTCAGAGTCTAAGTGGGCCCAGAGTTTCTGAAGAATGATATAGTGAAGTGCACTCACAGCCAATCTCCACAGTGCCATCCCCATCAGAGGCTGTGGAGCCTCTTGCTGCTGGGTCAGTACACATTGGCCACACCCTGCGGTGTGCACACAGGTGATGGGTAAGGTAGGAGTTGTTGAAATGGTAGTCACAAAAAGGACAGAGGTGAGACCGTGAGGCTGTGAAGGCTCACCCTTGCCGGCCTGGGCTGAGGGCCAAGATTGCCACAGTCCACCTTAGGCATCAATTTGATTAACTCCAGTGTCCTAAATTACGGTCATAGGGCTGGACCCTCCCTACCAGATTCTCAGGCCCAGGCCTTTTCTTTAGATTACTGCCTTTGCCCTTGAGGTTGCTGACTTCCTCAGGAGGCCTAGAAAATCAAAACTCAGATTAGGCTTGCTAGGCTCTTGAAGGCTTTTCCTGCCCTGGGGCCTGGGAAGCACCTGTGGGTTCAAAACTCTCAACTCACTAATGTTGGGAAGAATCTCAGCTGGATGAATCATCACCACACCTCCAATAAACATCCTCAGGCACCACATGGCCAGCCCTGATCCAGAGGGAGAACACCTCTGGACAGAAGAGCTGCCACCTACTCCCCCTGGGAGTCTTGTAACAGATTTCCAGGGGACCCAGGAGGCCTAGTGTTACAAAGAGACACTGTAGTCCTTGGGGACAGAATTGGGGAGTCTTCACTTTCTACACAAGCTCTTACTGATTGTGCATTTTCCATATTATCCTATTTTATTACTTTCATCCTTCAACCCCCTGAGAAAGAATGATGCTGGACTGGGAGGTGCCTCTGCACCTTATCTCAGACCCAGGATTCTAGGATTCTGGCTCTTGTTCTATCAAGAAAATAAGGGCTAGTTTGGACCAGGGAATCGTAGGGAAGGAGAGTTAGTGCAGGCAAGGCCTTTGAATAGCCAGTGAGGACGTATTCACAGTACAAGAAGCCAGTACATGTCACTTCCTCCCCACCAATAGCCCGGCTCCAGGTAAAGGCTCCATGGTGCAGCCTCTCCCAACAGCGGAATCCCACTCCTGATCCCTTCCTCCTAGGGACTATTTACGACCCCCAGCAGACAGGCCCCTCGTGAGTGAGTGGCTCCTAGGAGCCAGGAACAGAAAGAGGGAAGCGAGCCAAGATGGGTTATTGGTCTCCTGCAACGATACCCCTGAACCCTCTGTGCGGCCCGCAGACAATCCCACTGCTGCGGGGAAAAGGGCAATATACAATACTCAGGGGACGTGAAGCTCCACGCTCCCAGACTCCTCCCCACTTCAGCTCAGCCCAATCTCTCCAGGACACCGCGTGAGCAACGGAGCCGAGGCCGCACCAGCCCTAGTCTTCAACCGCAGGTGTTCGGACTCAGGGTCTCCGCCAACCCCTCCCAAACTCGGACCCTGTGCTCTGGGAACCCCCTTGAGGAAACCAGGATGGTGCCGGAACCAGCTTCAAATGAGGCCACTCTAGGAAATTAGGAATTTCACATATCGTTAGCACTCAGCCGACGTTTATTGGCCTAAAAACGAAAGAACCGGAAGATGCCCTTAAAAAACGTGGAGACACTCTAGCTTCATTACGGTTGGCTCAATATTTCAGGAAACCTGGCATTGTATTTGGCCACGGCCCGGCCCTCAAAAGATGACGCCATCCCTTCCACTAAGGTTCAACGAGGACCACGATGTCTGCCCTCAATTATAATGGCGGCGATGCCCAATTGGGCTTCTTGCCCCTAGGGGTGATGGCCGCCCAACAGCTTCACTTAGTTTTTCACTACCCCGGAAGACGGAGACCGGCGATTGGGCGGTGCCCGGAGGCTCCGAGAAGAAGGCTCTCGGCGGTTGGGCAGTGTTGGGTAAGCCTAGTTTTAAAGGAGCCGGAGGTGGGAGCTGCCAAAGACCCGGGATCGGCGGGAGGCGGCGGTGAGCTGCGCGCGGGGGAGGGCACGGAGCGGCTGGAGAGAGGGCGGGAGGTGGGGGGCGGGGAAGGAAACATTTGAACCATCTGGTCCGGGGCTGGGGGAGAACACTGGGTGGGGATCCGGGGAGGGAGGACGGGACCTCCCGGGATTGGAGTGAAGGGGGTATCTGCTTGACAGTGGATCCCCAGGGATCTAAACTGAGTTCGGTGATGCTCAAGCTCAGGCCGCGCCAGTCTGAGTGGAGCTTTGCGGAGCTGAAGCTCATAGGGGGAGGAGAAGGCTTGCACGGCGTCCGATTGGAGGAACCGCGCTGTAGGAGTCTTTCTGCAGGGCTCCAGTCTAGGGGATCTGGTGGGAGGGAGGATCGTCGGTGTGTGGAGTATTGCTTTGGAGTCCTCGGCCACTCGCTGGGAGGGATCCAGCCAAAACAGAGCCTCCCGGGACCGGGATCCCAGCGTGGAATCTGCAGGGACAAAGGCCTCGGGAGGCTCGGGCCGTGGAAGAATTGGGGCTGCCGTAGTTCAGATTCTCGCGGCAGGTGTCAGGCAGGGCGCAAGTGATCCCCTGATCCAGGCGGCGGCAGCGGGAGGACACCTGCTCCGGGCGGCCGGCCGGGGGCGCCCTTCTGCGCCCCAGGGCGCAGGCCTGTGGGCTACCGGGAGCCGCGGGCGGACCATGAAGGGCGGAGCCCTGAGGGAGGGGCCGGCCCTCACACCCCGCTCCCCCACTCCCCCCCATCCCAGGCCGCAGCCTGGGATTCCCCCAGGGACTCCCCCGGAGCCGCCGCTTACCCCATGGACTTGCCCGGGGACTCCAGGTGAGAGCGCACCCCGCCCGCCTGTCTTGAGCCTGGGAGACTGGGATCCTGGCGGCTGTACCGGGAAACTACAGAGCCAACGACAGGTTCAAGCGACAGTCCTCTGCTTCTTTCACCCTCCAGCCCGCCTGGCCAGCCCTGTCTGTGCCGCCAGCCCCTGGCTCGAGCGTTATGGGGTGCCGGGAGCCCGAAACGGCCGAGGCTGCAGCCCCTGGGGGCCCCTTCTCCCTTGGAAAAGGCCTCTCGGCGAGTCCTGGCCGTGGTGCTGGAAGATGTCATGGCTGCCCACACGGTGAGCCCCCTGAACTAAGAGCTACTATTTTCTCCCACTCCCCTCCTGAGTATGACAGTTGGGCTAGATCCCTACCGAAGATAACTGATGTCCAGACACTTCATTTTCATGCCCATCCCTCAGGCAGCCTTCCTAATGCTAGAGACCTCTTGGCTCTCACTCCAACCTAGGCAGGGGCTCCAGTGCCCATTCCCCACCACCAACTGGGCTGGAATGACATCCCTACAACTTTTAAGTATGAGAAACCTTTCTGCTTTCTTCCTAGCCCAACATTCTTGGACAGCAGGCTGAGGTCTTTGACTCCATTGCACAGATAAGAAAAACTGAGGCCCCAAATAAGGCAGTGACTCACCCAAGGTCTTTTTCACTTTTCCAAACAGCCTAAATGAGAAGATTAATAACCCAGATTAATAACCCACCCCTGCAGCTCAGGACTCTGTAATATCTAGCCCTTAACTCAGTATAATTCACCTGTTCTTTGGGGATTTGAGTGAATTCTAGCCATAATATCTGTCACCTTTGTGGCTAAGGGCACTGTTAGGCACAGGGAGACCCTGTCTAGTACAGCCACGTTCCATCACCTTACTCTTGACACCTCTTCTTATAGGTCCCTTTGATGTCGCAAGAAGAGACCTCCATCCCACGGCACCACAGCTACCATCAGGATTCTGTCCACATCCAGCCACCTGCCTCACTACCCCGGCAGGCCGTGTGGTCTTCCCAGGCCAGGTGAGCATGGCAGGATAGCGGGCAAGCTGGGGACATAGCTGAGCCCCTCTGATCTTCCTGTTCCCTCTCTAGGCCCCCAGACCCACTGCATTTGTGCCGAGAGCCCTTGAGCCGCATCCACCGGTCCTCTCCTACTCTGAGGAGGCGATCAAAGACAAACCCTGGCCCAGAGGAGGGCCCTTCACAAAAGGTGGACCGGGTCCCCCAGCCCACCCTGGTGGTGATGCTGGAAGACATTGCCAGTCCCAAACCCCCAGCTGAGGTATGGGAACATAGGGTAAGGATGTCAGGGGTTCAGCCTGGGGGCAGGCACTCCAGTGGGGATAGAGGAAGGGTAGGAGGCCTGAATCTTGGGTGGATTTCTCTCAAGTTAAGGAGGATGGCATTTTAGGTGGCAGCCCCTGGCTGAGCAAAGGCTATATAAAAAAGTCTTTGGTGTAAACCCAAGCAGATATCTGGGGACTGAAAGAGTCAGGGTATAGGAGGCTAAAGAAGCCAAAGGAGGCTTCCCTGCCTCCACACAAAAATCCCATTTTTATCCAGGGCTTCGTCAGTGAGACCCCCAATTTCATCGTCCCAGCGCAAAGGTGAGAGGGCTGGAGAAGGGATTATCACAGTATCCAGGCAACAGCCATCAGCCAGGTAGCCAGAGCCAGGGGCATCAGGATTGGCCTATCTAATCCTTCCTTATGCACGTTCAGTAGCCTTAAGGGACAGGGGAGGTGCTGGCTCAGGTGGATCTGGACCTGGAAGCTCTCCCAGCCTTTACCTTGCCCTTTCACCTCAGAACTGAGCCTGTGACGATGGTTCACCAGCCAACACCTCCACCCAGGGACCTAGAAGCCCCATGCCAGCCATCCGTCCTGCCTGCAGACCCTCTGGAGGGCCCACCACCAGGTAAGGACTCAGGCAGACGAATTCGACTTGGGGTTCTGGAAAATCCTAGTTAAGTTTGGAAGTGTCTATGGAGAGGTGGGGGTGGGGCTTAACTCCTACCCAGGGCAGAGCTAGGTGTGTGAAGATGGGATGTAGACTTCAGAGGCTTGAGGTTCATGTCCTAAATGCAGGACTTAGTGTTTTAGGGGTAGCCTTATTCCTCTGTGGACAAAGTTTAGTGTTTGGGGGTGGAGCTGAGGCCACAGAGGTGGGGCTTAGACACCTGCAGCTGAGGATGCCTACCTGTGACCCTCTCCTTTCCTCAGCCCCAGATCCTGCTCTGGAGCCCCCATCCACTCCACCACCGTCCAGCCTTTTACGTCCCCGCCTCAGTCCCTGGGGCTTGGCCCCCCTCTTCCGTTCCGTCCGCTCCAAGCTGGAGAGCTTTGCTGACATCTTCCTCACACCCAATAAAGCCCCACAGCCCCAGCCCCCGTCACCCCCCATGAAGCTGGAGTTGAAGATCGCCATCTCAGAGGCTGAGCAGTCTGGGGCTGCTGAGGGCACTGCATCTGTCAGCCCCCGGCCCCCTATCCGCCAGTGGCGGGCTCAGGACCACAATACCCCAGCACTCCCTAAGCCCTCTCTGGGCCGAAGCCACTCCTGCCCTGATCTGGGGCCCCCTGGCCCAGGCACCTGCACCTGGCCACCTGCTCCGCCCCAACCAATACGGCCACGGCCACGGCGGCACACTGTGGGTGGTGGGGAAATGTCTCGAGCCCCACCACCCCCTCGGCCCTGTCTCCGGAAAGAGGTCTTCCCTCTCGGAGGAGTGGGAGCCTCCCCTTCTCTCGCCACATCTTGCTTGCCCACGGCATCCACTTCCTCCTTCTCCGAACCAGCCGAACCCAGGTAGTGCTCTCAATAAATCCTCCTTGAAGCCCTGGCCATAGTTTGGGCCCAGCCTCCTTCCCCAAGTATCCAGTGGGCAGGAGATGGGGATATTGCTGTGAATCTTGTTGTCCCTGAGCCTTGACTTTCTTGGCAGGTTGGGCTCAACCAAGGTGAAGGAGCCAACCGAGGAGAAGGACCAGGTGCTTTCAGACTCTGAGACCAAGGTAGGGTTACAGACAAGGGAGAGGAGAAAGGTGGGGACCTGAGTGAGCCCATGTCACTCACCCTCTGCTCCATTTTTGCAGACCATTGGAAAGGTCTCTCGATTCAGAATACGCAGGACACCAGCCCGTCCTCAGCTAAACCTTACACCAATGGGGCTGCCCCGACCAATCAGGTGAGAAGCTCAATGGGCATGGAGCTGTCTTGGCTAAACAGGTGTAGGGCGCCAAACATGTCCCCTGAAGTGTAGCTTTGTCTCCTGTCAAGGAGCACAGTCCAGCCTAGAGGATTCAATTCAGTGTGGACATGGTTTATGCTTAGAACTGCCTGTCTGCCTCAGGCAGCACTTCTGTCCCTGACATGGCCCAGAAACTGAAATAGAGACCAGCCCTTACCTATCCCTTTTTCAGGCCCCACTAGCCCAAGGGTTCTCAGTGGCCTCTCCTCTTTGCTCTTAGGCTGAACAAGAAGGAGTTCAGCTTGGAAGAAATTTATACCAACAAGAATTACCAATCACCCACAACCAGGAGGTGAGAAATTTGGAAGTCTTGAGAATGGTAGTGGGAAGGCTAGAACCAAGGGGCATGCAGCTAAACCAGCTCCTCTCCCTCCTTCGTCCAGGACCTTTGAGACCATCTTTGAGGAACCCCGGGAACGAAATGGGACTCTAATTTTCACCAGCTCAAGGAAGCTCCGGCGGGCTGTAGAATTTCGGGACAGCAGCCACCCTCGATCTCGGCGGCCATCTCGCACAGTACGGGCTGCAGCTGGCAGGACTGTGACTCCTAAGCTTGCCCCTAGCCCAGATGTGGGACCCCTGCTGCAGCAACGGCTGGAGGAGCTAGATGCATTGCTCCTGGAGGAGGAAAAAGTGGATGGGGAGCAACCTCATCGGACTTAGGAGCTCCATCTATTTGTCTATCCATCCATCCTCAAGGGAGGTGAAACCTCTGAGGCAGTTATATTTTTTTTTTCTCTATATTTCTAGTAAAGTTTTCAATATGTTTCTGATTCTTTTCTGTCTGTAGCTGAGTTTCAGATTGATTGGCAGTACTGGCCCATGTTTCTATGTTGGGACCCAAAGGACTGGGAAATGGGGGTGATATCAATGAGGTTGAGGGGAGTTAAATACAGGGAGGAGTATCATTAGAGATACTCCCTTGATTGGAGAATTCTCCTGTGTACAGGGACATGTCAGAATCAGCTCCAGATGATACTGTGACCTTGAACGCTGGTCAGGGTTATCCCAATTCACTTATATCAAGCAGACTGAAAGGCCTATAGTGGACCTAGGCCTTGACTAAAATGACCCTGAATTCCTCCTAGCATGCTGGTCAGGACTTGCTGCTTGGATTCAAGAGCTAAGAGTAATCAGCCATAATTGAGTACCTACAACAACCTGTCACAGGTACTCAACCTGCACATATCCTTGTGAGAGGGAATTACAGCCATTTTATAGATAAGAAAGCAAAGTGAGCATTGTCTGCATTAAAATGGCAACCCAGGCAATAAGGACAGAAGTGATACTTTTTTCAAGTCAGTCAAATTTAGCAGTGAGACCCATCTTTAATAATTTAGAGGCAGCAAAGAGCAGTAGCTACAGTAGACTTTGGAGCTAGGTTTTTCTAATCTAAATCCTAGCTGGGAAACTAACAATCTATTTGTGCAGCAATTCCCCTCCCTCTCTGTAAAATGGGGCTAATAGCCTGCAGTTCCAACCCCCAGACCGTGGACTGGTACAGGTCCTGGCTGTTAGGAACCCCGCTGCACAGCAGGAGGTGAGCAGCAGGCAAAATTGAAGCTTCATCTGTATTTACAACTGCTCCCCATCTCATTACCGCCTGAGGCCTGAGCCCCGCCTCCTGTTAGATCAGCAGCAGCATTAGATTCCCACAGGAGCACCAACCCTACTGTAAGCCCTGTATGGAGGGATCTAGGCTGCCATTCCTTATGAATCTCGTTTTTCTTTTTTGAGACAGTCTCACTCTGTTGCCTGGGCTAGAGTCCGTCCCATGGCGTCAGCCCAGCTCACAGCAACCTCAAACTCCTGGGCTCCAGCAATCCTTCTGCCTCAGCCTCCCGAGTAGCTGGGACTACAGGCATGCGCCACCATGCCCGGCTAATTTTTTCTATATATTTTTAGTTGGCCAATTAATTTCTTTCTATTTTTGGTAGAGACGGGGTCTCGCTCTTGCTCAGGCTGGTTTCCAACTCCTGACCTTGAGCAATCCGCCCACCTAGGTCTTCCAGACGTGAGCCACTGCGACTGGCCTTTATGACACTCTTAATGCCTGATGATCTGAGGTGGAACTGAGGCGGTAATGCTAGCGATGGGGAGCAGCTGCAAATACAGATTCTCATTAGCACAGCGGTTTGACTGCGCCCTAAATGAAACACGATCTAATCATCCCAAACCGGTTTCCCCTCCCCTGGCCCCCGTGGAAAAATTGTCCCTGGTGCCAAAAACGTTGGGGACCGCTGCTAATAGCAGTATTTGCCTCGTAGAATCATTACACATAAGTTAGTATGTGAGAAAGCACTCGGCTTACAAGTGCAAGGTGTTTTTTAATTGTTAGCGCAGGCCAGCACCCTCACATTGAACCGAGCACTAACGGATGCGGTTTCCTTCCCTGCGTTCGGCGCCATCAAAGCACGCGGCATCCTAGGCCCACCCTGCACCGCGGAGCTATCCACCGCTAGACCAGCCAGACGGTGGTATCACCACACGCATGCGCGAGGCGCCGGGAGCTCTGCGTGCTGCGCCAAGCGGCAGAAAGCGAGAGACGACGTAACTAGTTGTCCAAAGCGCAGCCGCGCGCCGCCCAGCGGCCAACCGCTCCCCTAGGCCTCGAGCACCACATCCCAATTCCTCGCTTCGTCGCCGTCAGAAGGCGGACCAATAAACGAATAGCAGGAAGGGGCGTGGTTATGTGGCGGACCGCCCCAAACACCTACTTCTAACCAGTGGAGTCACAAGACTTGAGGAAGGGCGGAGCTAATCTGACGTAACCCAATCAAAGATTTGAGGGCGGTTACATATTACCCACTCCCCTGAGTTTGACTCCGCCCTTCGCTTTGACGTCTACTTCTCAACCTATCCACGACTGAGTCTGGTGGGTGGGGGTGAAGGGAAAGGGGCGGAGAGTCGGGAGGAGGCAGAGAGAGGAAGGAGGCGTAGGCTGAGGAGGAAGAGGGAGGAGGGGCAGGGAAGTCCTGGCGGAGAAGAGGCCCAAGACTCCAAAGGAGACAACAGGAGTGTGCGTTGGAGTTCCCCAGCTGCCCAGCAGCCGTTTCCGGATCCCCTAAGACACAAGTCAGACGGAGGAAAGGAGGAAGAGACTTTTATGTCGGCGGACAGAGAAGCTCTACCCGTCACCGTTGCCTCACATCCGGGGCTTTGGAGGGCTGGCCCCCGCGGCTCCGCCCCCCCTCCCGCCTTTCATGGCGACCGGAGGCGGAGGCTGGGAGAGCTGGGCCTGGAAGAGGCCCCTTTAAATTTCCTTAAAGGGGTGGCCACTGAACTCGGCGGACTCCAACGCCAACCTTAAAGGGGAAGCTGCTGAACAGAAGCTGACAAATTGAGAACTGTGCTGTTGGGAGAATTGGGGCGAGTGAGGTTTCTTACCTACTCTTACCCCCTCGCCCCGCAAGAAGTCCTTTAAATTCTGCTTAAAGGGGAAGTGGCAGCTTGTGGAGGACTAGAAACTAACTCTCGAGCCCTTAAAGGGCCGGCCTGCTGTTTAAGGACCCTGGACTCCTTAAAGGGGTGGTCTCTTTTAGCCGGAGGACTTGAGACACTTTTAAAGGGGAGGTCTGCGTTTCGGGGCGAGCTTTCGGTCCCTTTTAAAGGGGTGGCCCTTCCTCTTCCTCGGGGAGACTTGTCTCGACCCCTAGCAGGGGGCAGCCACCGCACTAAGCCGGACACCGTCAGATCGTCTTAAAGGGGCCGAGGGCTGGACAACTTGAGGCCTCGCTTTAAAGCGACGGCCGCCCCGTTTTCGCCGTCGCGGCCCCGTTGGGCCCAAGGAGGGGCCCCTCGGGCTTGTCGACCCGGGGGCGGCGCCGGCTCCCCGGGCCTTGGCCTTGGGGCAAGCGCGGGGCCAGCAGATCCTGCTTTAAAGGGGAAGCCGTGGCCCTCTCTTCCCTGTGCAGCCGTCAGCGCCGCGCCTGCGACCCCGGGCCTGCGGACAGGCCGCTTCGGGCCCCGCCGCCTCCGGATGCGGCGCTGAGGGCGGTCGCCATGGAGACGGCAGCGGCCGCGGCCCCGGGCCCGGGCTGGGCAGCTGACGGGGAGCGGCGGCGGCGGCGCTGCTCACGCCGAGACCGAGACCGGGAGCAGCGGCGCCGCCGAGGTCCAGGCGGCGACGCGCCCCGGGCCCTGTTGGCTGCCCCGCGAGGCTCCTCGTCCTCGTCGTCACCGCCGCCGCCCGCCAGGCCTTGGTCGTCAGCTTCATCTGGAGAGCGGCCTGGGGGCCCGAGACGGCGGCGACCTCGTCCCAGGCCTCGACCCCCCCGACCCCGAGCTCGGAAGCGGCCTGCCGGCTCGGGCAGTCGCGGGGAGGAAGAGGAGGAGGAGGAGGAGGGGGGCGCAGACGACGGGGAGGCCGAGGAGGAGCCTGACGAGGAGGAAGAAGAGGAGGAGGACTTGATCGATGGCTTCGCCATCGCTAGCTTCGCCAGCCTCGAAGCCTTGCAGGTGGGGCCTGATGGGGCTAGGGGCCTTTGGGAATTTCAAAGGGGCAGAGAGAAGGGTATAGTGCCTAGAGTGGGTGGAGTTGAGGGGGGAATGCTGGCACCCCAAACCAGAGCAACCGGCTCCTCTGGCCAGGCCTCTGCTCCACCCTGGGGTGGGAGGAGGTAGAGCTAGTCTCAAGGGACCAACCAGGTTACCCAGCCTGAGGGTACTTTGGTAGCCTTGTCTCCCCCGGAGAGGTGGGGAGCTTTCCTTTTTCCATCCACTTCAACCCCACCTCCTCCTCCACAGAAGGATGCATCTCTTCAGCCCCCAGAGCGACTGGAACATCGGCTGAAGCACTCTGGGAAACGGAAGAGGGGGGGCTCCAGTGGGGCCACTGGGGAGCCAGGGGACAGCTCTGATCGGGAGCCTGGCCGGCCCCCTGGGGATCGGGCCCGAAAATGGCCCAATAAGCGGAGAAGGAAAGAGGTGAGCTTATTCCAGATCCCCATCCTTTAAAACTGTTTAGGCAGAAAGTACTTATAGAATCAGTAATGCCACTGCCCACTGTAAACAGTGACCCTGGTCTGTAAGGGCAAAGAGGAAGGCAGAGCAAATTTAAGCCCCCACTTCTATCCATGTTTCACAAAGACTTGGCAGTAGTCAGACTTATCTGCTTTTTGCCTGGTACTATGTCTCCTTCAAACATGTTGATAATTTAGAGACACATCAAAAGGGCTTATTTGAATCATAAATACTTTAGACGTGGTCCCTGCCCTTCCGTCCAGGTGATGGCAGTCTAGCCGGAAAGAAGTAGTTAACAAACAAACACCTAGACCTTAACTTGAGAAGCAGAAGGCAAAGGTCTGGGAGAGGTGCTTTAGAAACCCACAGAAGGAAGCCACTCACTCTGCCTGGGGGATGGGAGGAGGGCTGTGGTTAGGGAAAGCCCCCTGGGATGTCTTAGTCAGGCCCTGAAGTATAGTCAGAAGTTTGCTAAGAGGAGAAATGGGGGAAAAGCACAAAGATGAGAACCTGGTGTATTTAGGGAAGGACAAGAACATTGGGAATGGGAGTTGGGCAGTAGTAAGAAGTAGTGAGAAGCAGCTAAAAAAGCATGTGAGTAAATCATGAGGGACCTTGAGGGCCTTGCTGGGAGTTGAGACTTTATTCGCCTCCCTTACCTCTGGACTCTGGTCTTTCTCAGGCCTCCTCCCGTCACTCTCTGGAAGCTGGATACATAGTAAGTGCTATCCACCTGCACTGGCCCCTCCCCTTTCTACCTTGGGCCCCACTCCTCTTCCCTCTCGTGACACCTTTTCTTTCCTTCTCCCCA